CTGGTTACATCTCTAGGTTGCCTAAATTGCCTAATGAGATGCTTTTGGAACAAATTGTTAGGCTGATTTCGGAGTCGAAGAAGCCTGTTTTGTATGTGGGTGGTGGGTGTACACAATCGAGTGAGGAGCTGAGACGATTTGTGGAGCTTACGGGTATTCCTGTGGCGAGTACTTTGATGGGTCTTGGAACTTTTCCATGTGGGGATGAGCTTTCTCTTCAAATGTTGGGTATGCATGGGACTGTGTATGCTAATTATGCGGTGGATAGTAGTGATTTGTTGCTTGCATTTGGGGTGAGGTTTGATGATCGAGTTACTGGTAAATTGGAAGCTTTTGCTAGCCGAGCGAAAATTGTCCACATTGATATTGATTCGGCTGAGATTGGAAAGAACAAGCAACCTCATGTTTCCATTTGTGCAGATATCAAGTTGGCATTACAGGGTTTGAATTCCATATTGGAGGGTAAAGAAGGTAAGCTGAAGTTGGACTTTTCTGCTTGGAGGCAGGAGTTAACGGAGCAGAAGGTGAAGTACCCATTGAATTATAAGACTTTTGGTGAAGCCATCCCTCCACAATATGCTATTCAGGTTCTTGATGAGTTAACTAACGGAAATGCCATTATTAGTACTGGTGTGGGGCAACACCAAATGTGGGCTGCCCAATACTATAAGTACAAAAAGCCACGCCAATGGTTGACATCTGGTGGATTAGGAGCAATGGGATTTGGTTTGCCTGCTGCTATAGGTGCGGCTGTTGGAAGACCGGGTGAGATTGTGGTTGACATTGATGGTGACGGGAGTTTTATCATGAATGTGCAGGAGTTAGCAACAATTAAGGTGGAGAATCTCCCAGTTAAGATTATGTTACTGAATAATCAACACTTGGGAATGGTGGTTCAGTGGGAGGATCGATTCTATAAGGCTAACAGAGCACACACTTACTTGGGTAATCCTGCTAATGAGGAAGAAATCTTCCCTAATATGCTGAAATTTGCAGAGGCTTGTGGCGTACCTGCTGCAAGAGTGTCACACAGGGATGATCTTAGAGCTGCCATTCAAAAGATGTTAGACACTCCTGGGCCATACTTGTTGGATGTGATTGTACCTCATCAGGAGCACGTTCTACCTATGATTCCCAGTGGTGGCGCTTTCAAAGATGTGATTACGGAGGGTGATGGGAGACGTTCCTATTGACTTTGAGAAGCTACATAACTAGTTCGAGGCATTGTATTATCTAAAATAAACTTCTATTAAGCCAAAAGTGTTCTATCTGTCTAGTTTGCCGTTGGTCTTTGGCGTGGCTTTGCTTGTTGTGGCTGTTGTATTACACTCTACTTGGTATTTATGTTTACTTAAAGTTTTGCATCATCTTGCTTTGGTTGACTGTGAAGAAGGATTCAAATTTTTTTTTAATTGGCAGCACTAATTTCATTATCTGGAGCTCTATTTGAAAATGGTTGGCATAAGACGGACTCGAGGATAATAGCTTGTGTAACTAGAATCTATGGAAAAACTTGAATGTGGTGTCACTTGTGATAAATTCAAATGATGATGCTAATGAGTTAATTTGGATTGCTTTGTCAATTGATGTACTTGATTCTCGCTCCTCCTTTTCTCTGTACATACTGAAATGTGAATGATTGGTGTAAAAACATGAAAATATGTTAGTTTGGTCATGGACCATGTGATTTGCTTTCCAGAAAACGTGTCTCTTGATTTGGCGTACATAGTGATGTATGCGCTTCTTCAAAAGAAACAACCAAAGGAAATAATAAAGATATTCATAAGTAGATTAACCATGGAAGTCTTGAAGAAAAATGTCATGAAAGTGAAAAGAACTTTTGGTGGGGGTGCACATTTCCTCCTTTAATAGGTCTTACGTTTCGATTAATAGTGTTCTGTTACAGATGGAGAAGATCATTTACCTCTTTTTCAGCCTCCTTCTCTTGATATCATGTGTTATTTCCATTGGCTTTGAATTAAATATAAAATCCGACATGCCAAAATGGTGGTATCTGCAACCTTTTGACAATACCAGTAATTCAACTGAGTTGTCTGGCCTTCCGCATTTGTTCACTGCACTTATCTTGTATGGTTATTAAATTCCCAGATCCCTCTGTGTCTTCATTGAAGTCCTACATGCATCATTCATAAATCAAGATATCAGTATGTATGATGATAAGACAGGAACTCTTGCTCAAGCTCGTACTTTAAACTTAAATGTGGAGCTGGGGCAGGTTGATAACTTGATGCAATAACCGAATGGACTTCCTGAAATCCCCTATTGCTGGTCTGCAGTATGGAACACGTGCTAGTGATGTAAAACTTGCAGCTGCAAAGCAGTTGGCAGAGACATGGGCCATGGCCGAGTGGTAAGGACTGAGGACTGCAAATCCTCTTTTCCCCAGTTCAAATCCGGACATGGGTGGGCAACATATTGAACCTTCACAGACAACTAATGGTGGAAATGCAGGAGTCCAATTAAGACACAGTCGTCATCTCTAAACACGAAAGAAACCTCAAACCAGCAATAAAGGGGTTCAGCTTTGAGGATAGCTGTTTTATAAAGCGATGTTGGATGGAAGAACCAAATACAAATGTCATTTTGCTTTTATATAGGATACTTGCAATTTGTTATGCTTCTGTTCCTGAGCAAAATGAGGAGACTCGAGGCCTTAATTGTGAATCAGAGTCTCCAGATGAAGTATCATTTCTTGTTGCAGCAAAGAGAATTCGGTTGAGTTTTTCAAAAGAACTCAATCAAGTGTTTTTGCAAGAGACAGGTCTTCCTTTTAAATGGTTTCTGTTTTGTAGACGTTTGGTAAAAGAACGAAAAGAAAAGAGTTTTTTTTACTGTGAAGAACTTTTATCTTGTAGAGTTTTAAACAACACATAAGATTATGTGGGAAACAATGAACCCAAACACTTGATAAATAACAATTCCTGTATTGCTAATACCCGCATTACTAATCCATGTGTTCATCAATCTTTCTACCAAACGACCCCTTATTTCATACCGGTGTGTTGTTTCCTTTTCCAATAAAACAGAGTTGGCTTCTTGCATTGTAGGCAGGTAACACCCTTCTTCTTCTTTTCTCTAAAAGTCAGTCCTAGTAAATTTTATTATGCAACAAAAGTGTTACATATTAATGGCAAATATTGAACTGCTCTTTTTTCTAACAAAAGAATTTCATATGTATATTCACTATGGAGAATTCAAATGAAAATCTACTTAATAGATGCAATTAATCCTTATTTGTATATAACGTGATTTTTTTTTCATAATATAATTTTTCTCCATTCACGTGGGAAATTATTGAGTTTTTTTAAAAGTTAAGCATTAAAAGATGTATCATGAGAATTGAGAAATGGATGGAAATAAAATTGAGGAAAAAATGAAATTTGAAGAAAGTTCATGACTATGTGCACCCATAAACAAAAAAATGTAGCACAAGATAATTAACTTTATATTGATATTTTTGAATCAGCGAGTTGATGTATACTTAGGTAATATAAGTCACATGATTTATCTTTTTAACTGTTTTTGGTTTTCTTCGTTGTGCTCTTTCCAATTATGAACCCCGTTTGATTTCATGAGTTCGTAGAGAACTGATCTTACAAGTTACACTAATTTTCCTTGAGGTAGCATACACTTCACCCTCCAATAGGTGATTTTTAAACGTGTAACCACTAACCAATACATATACTATTTGATCATGTCATGTCAAACTCAAAAACCATTAAAAAGGGGTGAAAATTATTTACACCTCCGAACTTTACTTTAAAAGTCGAACTCTCCTTCAGCTTTAAGAAATAATCATTCTCCCCCTTTTTATCTTAATTGACTTTCTTAAATGTCTACTCTATCCTTACATTGTCAATTTTTTTTTGTATATTTTTTAAATTGAACTTTGACCGAAATTGTTGTAACAATCCTAAACTTTGGGCAGGACCTATTACCCCCTGCACTATTTAATGGTGTATTTTAAAGATATATATGTGCCCACGTGCCCAAGTTACTATTTAAAATGATGCAATTTTTTTTTATATATATATATATAGTGTAGGAGCATCAAAATGACGCGATTCTTATTCCATTGAAAGCATAACTCACATAAATACACCATATGTAAAAATCATGGACATAAGATCTCCAGATTAGTACATATATATTTTCAGATTCTGCGTTGCTCAATTCTTCAGTTTTACAAGCATGTGACAGAAAATTCATAACTTGATATATGAGTGATGTAACTATGAGATTCTTTTTTCGTTGCGAAGAGAACAAGAAAAACACTAGGTGTGATAATCATAACGAAATTCACTCCGAATTGATGAAAATAACAGCTTAGCACCCTTGCCAAAAAAAAACAAATTTATCTCTTAATTTTGGAGTGTTCAAATCATGACCTTCCGCAATGACTTTCATTTCGAATTGATGAAAAAAATATTCAAGTTGACAACACGCTTGAATGTTGATTCCTCAGCTTTGTGCACCCTTGCCAAGAAAACAAATTTGTCTCTTGAGCTTGGAGTGTTCAATCATGACCTTTGTGAGTACATCATTTCAATATAAATAAGTAGAGCTTTGATTCTAAGGGTATTTCAGTTTGACATTATGGGTAAAAATGCCCCTAAATTTGAGTTACTCTTTGAAGCATTAATGAATTCCACAAAATCATCCAACAACTCAAGCTGAATGCAAGTCGCTTTATCTAAAATGAAACTCAACAACCTATCGTATATCAAAATTCCTTTTGAATTGATCAGATTAATATCTGAAGTTGATTTACAAATTTGGTATGTTCGATACGCAGCCTTGAACAATCATAGTAAAAAATCATAACTCGATGTAGGAGTTTCTGAACCACAAGTTTCTTCTTTTGTTGCGGAGAGGATTTCAAGAACTACAACATACGCTGAAAATTCGGATCAATTTTTTATGGATTTGTACAGATACACCTTTAAAGTCTGCTCAGATTAATTCCAAAATTTGATTGTCTAAGCTAAAGAAGAAACACTGCAATCAGGATGAAAGTTTCTTTAGCATTTTACTCAAAATATTTTCTTCTTTAGTCTTTTTTCTTTTAATATCTATTTTTCTCTTTCTAAAGTAAACTCATTCTGCATAACACGCAAAAATATTGTTGTTGATAATGCACTAGATAGTTTCATAATCACAATTCTTAGATGCTGACCTTCCTGTAAATATGTGTTCTCTCATGCCAAGTATTGTGGGAGGACGCCGACCACTGTGTTTCAGGAACTCTTGCAAGATATTTCGTATTTTCAAAGCTTCTTCTAAATAATTATCCTGTAAAAACAAGCTATTAGAACATATATATATGAGATTATTCTTTTTCAAAATCCTAAGGCTGATGAATACCTGGTTCATGTCAATTGTTTGGAGAGCTTCACCGCGTGTGAAAATTATGGAATGATTTTGATTTTCAGGTTTTCCTTCTCCAATATTTGGTGGACCTGGAAGCTTTACACGGTATACTTCCTACAACAGTTGAAAAAGATTTGTAAAGAGTACGCATAGACCAAATATTTAGAATTAGAAGACATTGTTCATTTTGATACATAACACGAAACAAATAGATAGATCTTCCTTACTGCATTTTCTTGAGAAGTCATGTGCATATTGACAGTGAAGTGTCCAAAAATATTAAGCAAAAGACAGTTTTCAACTGCTTGGAGGATTCATTTTTAATACCTGATCAAAACCGTTAACAGCTTTAACTAGAATAGATGAGTAAACTTTTCGTGGCTTGTCTGCTGTAATTTCTTCTTTCTCCTCAACATAAGCAACGCGTAAAGAAGGGTACCTTTAAGCAAAACATCGATAAATTAACATAGTTAAATTTCAGAAAAGAGTGTACAAGTACAAAAGTACCCTGAATGAAAGTTTCACTTGGAAAAAGTACCTTTTCATCAAATTGAGTATGTCTTGAGCCTGAGGGTCACCAGTAGTCTTCTGTAATCCATATATTTGACAAGACACAACATGTATAAATTTCATGTCTGCCATGGCTTCAAGTTGAGCTGATAATGTATCATTTTTCCTCTCAATTGCATCATAACCTTGGAGGATATCTGGTGCAAGACAGAAACATGCAGATGATGTTCACTTGAGTCGAATATTGGTGTAGGGAGAGAGTCAAAATATCTGAATATGACAAACCTTCATCCTCAGCCATGTCAAGAAAAGCTTGCAACTTCAGTGCTTTTCTGTAGTACATCATTCCTCGGACTATTTGGTTAACGAAAGAAAACATATAAAGAACATTTCTAGTAAGGATAAAGTTCAAAATTTCAGCTTATATCGAAATAACTTTTAGAGGAAAGATAAATCCACCAGTTCTGCTTAGAGTTTGCCCTCGGAAAGAAGCCCAATTTCTCTCCTCTTCTTCAATTTCATCACTAGATTCATCTATTCCTTCCTTTTCCATGCGCTCCAAAAAGTTTTCCCATTCATCTGAGGACGTATAATTAATATGAATATTTAGTTAATCAAAACTTATGAGATGGAAGAAGCTCTCTTTCACTCTCTTAAGTCATAGAGAAGTTTCGTCGTGGCAACCTGGAAATATCTTTTTCATATAGAAAAGGATAGAGACTCCAGCTTGTTTTCTTGAATTGAGCTCCTTCTTTGAAAATTTGACTTCCTCCATGAAATGTGGAGTTAGAACACTGTATAGTAAACATGTCCCTGTAAGTAAGTTTACTTGTTGAAACCTCAGTATGTAGTTAATTCCACATACGAGTAGGAATTTTATGCGAAGTGACAAAAATATCAAGTAAATGTGATGAAATCTGACCTGAATGATAACATGTTCCGCACCTTTGGAGCATTTGGCATGTTCATAGACAGAGAAGTGGCAAAAAAGCAAATCCTCCTACGAGCCTCCAAGTTGGTCGGTATATCCAGTGCTTTATCTTTGACAGTAAGCAGTAAACGAAATCGCTTGATCTACAATTGAAACTAAATCAGTCTCCATACATACAATAGGTTTGTGTAGCTACACATATGTTTTCAGGTATGCCTATAAGTACACTACAAGTAAAGGAAACCATAAGTAGTAAAGTATTTTGAACACCTTTTCCAATAAGGAATCACTATCTGGCAATGGAAAATGGATTGAATCCTTAGATGCAAACAGTGGTGCTTCAATCGAGACGAAATATTCAACAACCTCTTCCCCACTATGCAGGTGAACATTAAGTGACTCCAACGTTCTGCAACCACGAAGGATGGTTGGTTAGACACAACATAAATGTAAGTATTATTATGACTTGAAATTCTTTAGGCATCTAACCTTGACCCATTTAACATCATATCGGTTGTTACAAGCTCAAAGATATCTTGAATTGCCAATACAACTTTGTTATGAAGGCTTTCGTTTCCCTCGACCTTGATAAACCAATGTGTCAATACGGAAAGCATGAGTAAATGAAGAAATTGGTTATAGGAAGAGAGTAAAAGGTTGATGCTTGTGTGCAAATTTACCAGAAGTTGAAGTAAAGTAATACACTTAGCGCATAGAACCGGCAGTTGGCTCATCTTCAAGTCCTTGAGAAGTGTTGATTTTTGAATGCTTTCATCAATTTCATCTAATATACCAGAAATAACCCTGAAAGGTAGACAATCATGTCATGAATGGGAGTCTAAAATTGAAAAAAAATGAAAATGCAGAAAGCACTTTCACTAGTATTGATTTCAGTACTCCCTCCGTTTCAATTCGTTTGTCTGATTTTGACTTGACACGGAGTTTAAGAAAGTAAGGGAGTATTAAATTGCATTTGAAATAATAGTCTAAAAAATTACCTTCTCTCAAGGTCACCAACAACAAGAATTTCGAGTATGTATTTCAGCGATTCATAACACTCTATCACAACCATAAACATGTATGTATCCTTCTTGATTGTTCTTAAAAGCGTTTCATCCTTTCCCTCAAAGTCTCGTGCAATAGATAATGCATTTGCAAGCTACCAGCAGATCAACGATAAGTCAAACAGTAACAATGCTAATATCAAACTAGATAAAGCTTCAAGATCAACATGGTACCTTATCTGCTAAAAGAAAAATGGGCCAATAAACTCGACCAGAGAGTAATTCTGGTGATACAGGTATTTTCATCAAATCCATCTCCCTGTTGTCAGTTATTACACAAAAGTCTTAGCTTTTTTATAAAGAACAGCATGCCCAAATAAGCTAGACAGAAATAATTCACCTGTCACTTATCACGTCCTCCTCTCGGAAGCTACTGATGATCTGGTTCCACACAAGAGCAAACTTCACAACATTGCTCTTTTCCCTTTCTGATAAGTGAAAGTTCTGCCAAACGGAACACCAGAGGGATGAGACAGAATTATAAAGAAGTTAGTAAGTGAACTTTAATAATTTCAATGGTAAAAACCTTTTGGAATTGGAATGTCAAAGGGATGAGCCAATTCATTAAGGTGTTTCGAGAATCTTTTGCTTCGGGTGGGACAAGACGATCACTGAAAGCTTCAGGTAATGAGTAAAATCTACTTCTCAGCATTCCCAATGTCCGAATCTGTGGTAAATAAAAGAGTTGAGAGTATCCATATAATGGCTTAAAATTTAACTAAAAACAACTCACCTCACCAAGATGCTGGAGGATTCCATACACTCCACCAAAGACTGCACAGTAGACAGAATACCAGATTTGTGCATCCATGAAATATACCTGAAACAACAAGATTCAGCACGGAAGATTGTTATGTTTAAAAGAAAATACAAAGCTTCAGAAACAGAAGATGAAATCATAATATAACTTACAAGTACAATTGGAGCCCATATAGCAGCTAGTGCTCCAGCATTGCTCTTGACTAAATTGGAAAAAAATCATTCAGAGGATTTACATATATATCTACACTCTTCAGCTACTTAAGAAGATAAAAAGGTTTAGACAATTACCTTTAGGGAAAAGCTCGTGCCAGTCGTAATTTTTTACTCCGATTGCCATGATCTGTCTTGTAGGTGATATAAGTGGTTTTATCTGGACATTTCATGATAAGTCAACTAGTAGCTTGTGGGCACAGATGGATGTGTCAACGATCAAATTAGTAATACTAACTTGTAAACCAATAAGAAGCCTTAGAACTACTCACCTCAAATGTGTAGCTAAATATAAGTTTGCTTATTAACAAGAACAGCCAGAAAATGGTATACCTAAAACCAGAAATAAGGCTTAATGAGAAACTCATCAAGAGATTACTTCAAATAAAAAAATAGGCTCAGAGTAGGGATAGTAAGAAATACTTCAGAAGGGAGAGTTGGCTTTCTTGCATTCCTCGCCCAACATATAGCTTAGGCTGCATTACGAAAACCAAGAAAAGTGAAAATTTGACCAATGTATAACAGAACAAGTTTCTTTTGGACCGTCTTTCTCCAACACAGTTGTGCATGCTAGGATCAGGACACTGAAAGTTTACCTGAGTCCACCAGGATAAGAACATGCATATCCGGTAATTGGAGGTCTCGATATATTTTCCAACCACAGGCACAAAAAATAGAACCATGTCAACTGCATTGGTCATCAAGTAGAACGCAACTGCAACCATATAGGAAGAATAGCACCATTCTCCAAGCCAACTCCCACTTTGTGTTGAATAACAAGTATATTTTTTACGAGAACTAGCATAATATACGGGAAGAATGATGGTCCACATCATAGCAACAACCACCCTCAGCACATGTTTCAGAGTTTGATTAGGGTCTATTGTACATCGAGCTTTCCATGTAAAGATGATATCAAGAATAACTGCAAGAATGAGAATCTCGTCATACGTTTTGTCTTAAGTTATGATACGTAAGTAGATAATAAAAGATGAAAAAGGTGGACAATAAAATAACAAGAGACTTAGTAGGCATACCATTTACAAGTTTAAGAACTGCTGAAGTGATGAAGATACTCATAACATCCTCGAGTACTGTTGCATCAAAGACTTGTAGAGGAGACTCCAAATCGTGAGAAGCCATTATTATCATTGCCTAAAAGAAAACAGTCAAGAAATTAAGATAAAGAAAATGGAGCTTAGAAACCTAGTAAGAATGTATACTTAAGCTGTTGTTAATATCTTATCTTACACAAACAGACCTGAAGTGATAGGATAAAAAAGCTCCACATCCTGTCAAAGCATCTGAAAATCTGCCAAAATGAGCGGATTTCTACAAAATTTGTCTTCCCCAGCCACTTTGGTTCACGCACTTCATCCACTAGGATCTGAAGATCACAGAATGAAACTGTAATTTTAGAATTTTACTAGAAGGGCAGCCCAGTGTATGAAGCATCCTGTGTTAGCAAGGTTTGGGGAAGGGCCACACCCCAAGGGGTGTGATGTAGACAGCCTAGCTAACCTAATGCAAGCATTAGTGGCTACTCCCATGGTTTGCACCCGTGACCTATAGGTCCATGAAGACAACTTTACCGTTGTTCCGAGGCTCCCTTCAATTTTGGAATTTACTATCTTAAACATAAGGAAAAAAGAACTGATATTGAATATGCTTAGTCCTGGTGTTGCAAATTGTAAAGACAGACATGCATGTACGAGAGAAGAAAATTACTTATGTTGCCACATCAAAAGCCACCTTAGAGCATGTATTAACTCACATTTCCTTTTTGATCATTTCAATTGTAATTACAATACAATTAATAACCATTTCAGTTGATAAAATCATAAAATACACGAGTCGTTTGAACCAATACAGAGAACCTTTCAAGCCAATATGTGAACATGCTACACATAAGAAACAGGAATGCAATACGTTGATAGACAGAAGGCTACATCATTTAAAGAGAAAAGCCATGTATCCCTTCCAAAAGACCTTATGTAGACAGCGTGCGATAAAAAGGTTTTGAGCCCATTTTTTCTTTATTTTACAGAAAAGGAAAAGCGGTTAACGAAACAAATACGTGAGATAAAAAGCAAATTTGCATTATCAATGAAAGGTCAGGATGCTTTCTTGTGTCTATGTACACTATTTACTTTAATTTGAAATGTCAACAGGGTAACTTACCCCCATTTCTTCATCTTCATTTGCATCCTTGTTTTCTTGAAGGTCAGAAGCAGAAGCCTTTTCTTTTTTAACTTTGACATTATTTGGAGTTTCTATACAAAAGAAATCATGGTCCAGACGCATGGGCCAACCTATTTGAAAACAATCTGGAGACCTGAAACAGAGAAGCAACCAGCGGATCACAACAAATTCCTGACATATTTAAGGAGTCTCTCAACTGAAATATAAGATTGGCATTGAGAGAAAGTTATCTCTACCAAAAGAATTCATTCAGATCATCATAGTTCCTCCATGTCGAATGATCAGCTGTTCCTTTTCCGTTTTTCATAGCTTCCTTGAGTGTTTCAGGGACAAGGTTAGAAACTGAAATTATGGAGATCAGAGGTAAATGCATGTACAAACTATGAAGTACCTTATATATGACATCATACACCGGAAACACTACATTGTTGAGAAAAGATTCTGAATCTCCTTGGTAAGCTGGTATGACCTTTTCTCCGGTTGTCATGCTTATAGCACCAGTTAGCATGCTATGCAGCTCATATGCCATCTGCAAGAGAGAATATGTTTTTTTCATCATATTTGCATTGTATCATAAAATAGAGGTGTTAGAGTGGGTTAGAGTCCCACATCGGTTGAGGAATGGACTTGTGGTTTGATTATGTAGACGTTGGGCAATCCTCCCCTCATGAGCTAGCTTTTGGGGTTGACTTAAGACTCAAGTGTCATATCTTTACATGGTATATAAGAACCAGGTTCATCCCTATTTGGGCTCCCAGTCGAGTGGGTTAGAATCCTTCATCGGTTGGGGGAATGGACTAATGGTTTGCTTATATGGACTTGGGCAATCTCCCCCTCATAAGCTAGCTTTTCGGATTGAGTTAGGCCCAAGTGTCATATATTTTCAATAGGCAAAGAAAGAGAATATTTATTGGATCTCAATCTCCAAAACTTATGCAAGTATTTGAACGCAGTCACCTTTATAGAAATGGTATAAAATGTCAGCTTACATGGTGAAACATGTAACACAAGCATTCTGGCATAAACCTTAAATTTGCAGCCTCTCCCCATATCAGAAGATAAAGAGCTATATACAGAAGTTTGTACTGCTGAGCCTCCTGTTTCAGATATGGCACCCTGAAGAGCCATGAGATAACGAAAAATATGTTAGAGAGCGATAAGAAGTAAGAAGAGAAATAACTTCAGAAAGCAGAAGGAATTCAAAGTGTATCGTCATGTCACAGATTATCTTACCTAATATTGCTCTTTCGTCCCAAAAATTTGCACCAATCTGTATAATTTTTAAAAAACTTCTTCATCAGCTCATCAACAGCAACATCCCCTAGCTAATACCCGGAAAGTAAGCGTAACAAAGTCTATTAAAATGAAAATTGAAATGACACCTTAACTAGAAAGAGCCAGGTAACACTAGGACAGCACCTTGGGTACTAATACTTGCTTCTGAGTCTGCCGAACATGTGTGTTAGCAAGTAATAAAATTAAATGCTCTCTCTGGTTGGCCACATTCCCTTTCTGGCAAGAGAAAAGTGATATTAACTATTGATGTGATAGATAGGAGGATAAAATGCTTGAATTAGAGTTGTGAAGTCCATAAGAAATGATGAGATTTCCAGCTTTTATAATGTTGACACAACCAAAAATGGATAAAGAAAGAAACGGTAGTGGAACGGAGAATATTTGAACTGAGAATGCTAGAAAAGTTAGTACTTGAAATCCAAAGCAAAACTGAAGCCACTTGAACAAATCCAGGTTGGTTTCTTGTTTTCGACAATCTTCCAGGAAAGGCAAACCACGAACATCCCGAACTGCAGCAACCGCAATTTTAACCTGTGGAACATTAAGCTCATTACATATGAGCTGCCATATGGAAGGAAAGAAAACAAAATTGGCCAATAAATAGGCTTTTTTCACCTAAATGGGAAAAAAGAGGAAGTAACTGCCACAGTCAAAACTATTTAGCCAGCCAAACACATATAATTATCTATACATACCTCAGGGAGTTGCATGATCGCGTGATGAATTCCTCCTTGATCAAGTGGAAGAATGTTATATGACACAAAGAGTTCAGATTTGGCATCGCTACTCTCACTCCCAGCCTAATAAGAAGATACATGGAAGGTTCTATTAGCAAGTAAACCAAAGATTGAGCTAATCAAAGTACTAAGAGAAGGAAATCGCGTAAACAAAACCTGAACACCTGCTGCTCTGGAAACTGTATCCAATACTTCAAACAATACTGAAGCAACGACACGTGCCTTAGTCAGCCTTTCTCTGTGCAAGTAAGAGAACAGAACATGAATATTACTGAAATAAGTACTGATGATTTTAAGGACATCAGCACTCTTGTACCAAAGATAATTCTTAACCGAGTAGAATTATTACCTATTTTCAAGATTACTCTCCCCACCATGTTTGATTATGAAGTCTTTATACTCGCGATAAGCACGTCTAAGTTCACGTAAATCAGTCCTTTCCTTCCTTTTCCTGAGAGTAACTTCTTCATCCTATAATTCATAAATCAGACGTGGCAATTCAATAGCATGAATCTAGACAGTACCACGAAACTATTACAAATACTATTAACTCAGTTTAAACTGTGTAATGGTATGTCTCGGGATGAAATTGTTAGTCGACCACGAAAAATTGAAGCAAAATTTGATATTGACATTTACAATCAGATTGAGTAACTGACTAATTATCCTTTTTTCTGCAGAATAAGAGTATACCTGTTCAAGTCGTTGAAGAAGGGCAGTTTTAAACTGTCGTACTCCTCGGCCATTCGAATTCCTATCCAAGTTATGTGCTACTTCGAATGCATGAAACCGACCTGATTAAGAAAACTGGATTAACCACTTATCACCAAAAAGAAAATAAGAATTATCACATTAAGAAGAAGAATGAGAAACCCAAATTATGATTAATAGTGCTCAATTCTCAAGAAACGTCTAATAAACAGATTAACTTAGTAAACTATACCTTATAGTTACTATTTTTCTTAATGTGTGTGAAATGAGATAAAGCACACTTATTTTGGGTCAGAGGGAGTACTATCTAAGAGAAATGTAATAATAAAACTACCTCTTCGAATTCAAAGAATTATACTCATAATCTTTTTCACAGACAAGAATGACACTCTGCCACTTTCACTACAACAGCTAAAACAAGTCATCACACAAGAAAATTTTAGATGAAGTCTTACAAAGATAAGCCACACGAGGCTCCTCTGACTCGATAAGATTAGCTACGCGAAGAAATCTTTGAATCTCCGAAATCAAAGTCACTGGCAACTTCTCACTGTCAAAGGGCTCAGGCACATGATCACGCCCGTAAGTGATTGATCTAGTATAGGGCCTTTCATTGCTTGTGGTATAAGCTCTTCTGCTGGTACTAGCAGTACTTTCTTGAATTGGTTCTGCAAGAACAATTTCTGCCATTTTTTGGGAATGAAGAGGAACAAGTATGCATGAGATTGAGAGTATAAAAATAGGATCTTGACTGTATATACATGTTTTTTTTTGGTTTGGTGTCAGTGTGAATTTGCTTTTTGGTTGCTTTTGGGATGTAATCTTTTTCACTTTTGCTTTTGATATTTGTGTTTTCTGAATGGGAGAGGGAACTTTTTCACTGTGGAAATCAAAAAAGAATGTTAAATGAACTTCTAAGCAGGTATTTTTAATGTTAAAATAATACTATAAAGAATGGGACCAACATATAAAAGCCATTGTTCACTTGGTTAAGGAATGACATTACATAAAGAAACCATTCAGAATAAGGCGGAATACATGGACAAGCCCTTAAACTTGTCAATAAATTTTATTTAGATACTCGAACTAGGGTCTACCCTGATTGAGTACCTGAACACAGGATAAGGTATTCCTATTAGACACTTCCAACTCAAAATTTTGAAAAAACATTTACAAGTAGTAAAACTTAAAGTTTGTTCCAATTGAGGGTGATGTGAAAATAAATTTTATGTGGTTAACTTATCTACGTCATAGATATTTGAGAACACGCGCAAAAAAATCATGTGTTCAAGTGTCTTAGCCTTAAAATAAACTCACCTTTGGTTAGTTCTTTTTTTTTTCTCCTTTTTAAATTTTTCTCAATATCAAGTCAACTTTTAGGCAAATTTAGTAGAGAGTTGAAAATACAAAGAGAAGAGACGTCATAACTCATCCCTTAGTAGTGGACTTGTATAGAATGCTGCTGGGGCTCTGCTTTAACTGCTACTGCAAGAATATGAAACAAAAAGGAAACACAGTTTTGTCCTACCATTGCTCAAGGTTGTACGCGAAGTGATTGTAATACCATATGTAACAGCCCAGCCCGTTAATGATGATGTCCGCTTTAAGTCTAGTCCCGCACGACTTTAAAATGTGTGTCACTGTCTAAGGCTTGTTTCATCCCTCCCTATTTTATAGATGTAGGAGTGGCACACCTTACCGATGTAATCTAGTAGTCAATGAAGTAAACGACTACCAAAGTATTAGGTAATTCTTATCATCTATCTAAATATTTGGTAGACAAAGTTATACAACAGTAATCCAGTATAATCTTCGTAAGTAGGGTCTGCGGAGGGTGATGCGTAGGTAGCTTTACTCCTACCTTCATAAGTTAGACAGACTGTTTTCGATAGATCCTCAGCTCAAGTAATCATATTAAAGTTATCTCGTATCTATGTTATAGGATAATAGATACCCAGTAAAATAGGTGAGATGCATGTAAGTTGATCTAGACACCACAATGATAATCCTTTCTAATGGTTTTCTTGATTTTTTATAATGATAAAGAGTGGTTACCTACTTTACAAAATGAAGTCTTAGCAAAGCTACTTTAATTGCAAAGTAGAAGAAGCCATATATCAGATTTATGGGTTACAACTTGTCAGCCAGGCAAGATTCAACAAAGTAAAACAAATAGGAAAGCTATGTGCTTAAGCAATAAACACTTATCAAGACTTGAAGCAATTAACTGAAAGTTAATAAAAGAGAATACTTTATTTGAGTGGAAAAAGCTTCACCTACCTTTTTCTTTAATATTCACAACCAAATAATTGACACAAAAAATGCTCTTACAATGTTGAGTCATGGGGACCTGTGGGGGTATTCAGCTTTATTAACCTTTAAAAAAGACCATGAGACTATTTACACAATTACAATAAAAAGAGAAATAATTAGATTTCTTACTGATAGGCCAATCAAAAAGTACTTGAGACATTGGAAAAGTAACCTATTATATTACTGCATTTAGCTATTTCTTCCCTGTTAAGGATTAAAAGAGGGTCAGTGAGATTTTTATATCATCAAATTATTTTTCCTGATGTAGCAGGCAATTACTTGTATTTTCAACAGTACAAAATTTCATTTTTTAAAAAGGTTTACAACGTAGATATCCTTTGATAGACCTGATAATGTTTACAAAAAAATGGAAGGTGTATAGGTTAAACTCTTATTACATTGCTAATAGATAATTTTTTGGTCGGAAAAGACTACTATTACATAGCTAATAGAGATTTAGCTATATAATGATTTACTTAGTAGTTTTTACACAAATGACACCAGTCTTAGTTGAGCAAGGAGACGCCATGAAAACTACAATAGCGAACTTCAGGATTCCAGCTGCATGTATATCTACCATTGACATCCTTAGTGTAGCACTTGTCATATTTCCCAAACACAGAGTTCTTGACCACTTGTCAATAGGTTTAAGAAGAGCAAGGGTAACTTTACCGAGCTAGAGCCTTCACTGTATTTGCAGTCATTTATAGCTTGAGTAAGCCTATAGTCCTCCACAATTCCTGCAGAAAGCATAGCCATCACTGTTGTGACTAGTCCAATTCACATGCTTTGAAGTTGAGTTAGCTCGGTGTGGTCACACTTGCTCCTCTTAAACCTAAGTGGATCAAGAACTCCGTGTTTGAGAAACATGGCAGGTGCTACACTAAGGATGTCAAAGGTAGACATACATGCTGCTGGGATCCTGAAGTTCACTTTTGTAGTTTTCATGGCATCACCTTGCTCAACAAAGAGTGACGTCATTTGTGTGAAAACTAGCAAGTAAATCATTACATAGCTAAATCAGCAGCAGTCTCAAAACACATTTGATCATTTCAACTTGTGAATAGGGAAAAGCTGCCATTGGCTGTGATCACTCTGCTTCTGGTTGCCAAGTTCCTTAAAGATCACCACAGCTGCTCCAACTTGGAACCTGCAACATGAAAAAAATTATTTTTAGTGCATAATTATAGATTGGTGAATAGACTGTTTATGGAATAAGCTCAATGTGACTGTGACTTGTTACAGTAAATGGTTTATGAATGACAAAGTCACAAATATGAGATTTTGTTGACATAGTGGATTAAACTTCTATTGCATTTCTACACTTGAAACCATTGTATGTGTGGCATTTTTCTACCACCAATATAATTGTGGAGTTCTCCACTCTGCACTCCTTTGTAGCTGCAACTAGAACTTGAATAAGTAAAGTTGTGATGCTAGTGCTAATAATGCAAATCTCTGTCAATTAAGTTTTTCGAGGACTATTACAATCAACACTAGTGATTAAGAGAAATAACACATGTGCGAGATAATAGCAGCAATATCAAATCTTTTGGATTTGCAATGGGGTTTTAGCATCTATACAAGTACCATGGAAGTGCACTGAGGGTTTGGTCTAGCGGTCAATGAAGTACCGCAAACCATGGGAGTTGGGAGACTTGAGTTCAATAGAGAAAATGCCAGATGACTCCTGTCTTGATGACAGAGTTACTCCAGTGCCTATGTTGGTGGAAGATAACAAGTACCTGGTAAAATAGTCGAGGTACGTGCAAGTTGGGTCAGACGTCACTGATATAAAAAAAAGGAAACAAGTCCAAAATTTCCTTCGACTTGTGCCCTTATTCATAGATGGAACATTAATCTAAAATCAAATTCTAACTACTATAGTACCCTCGTGATGCCCTGTAATATTAAAGAGAATAAAAATCATACTCAATAAATTGTTATCATATTCTCTTCTTAAGCACATTAAAGTTTTACTATTTGATCAATAGTAAAAGTTTAACCATTTGATCTACCACCTTTGATAAGAGGCCACCAGAGAAAGAAAAAAAATATTTCCTCCATCTATAATTGCCATAAGAACAGTTTTATGTGCAATAAAATTTAGAGACGGTTGATGAATCCATTAAATTTTTCAAGAATTGGTTTCATAAGCTACTCACAGAGTCCAGGCTAAGGTTACCAAGTAGCAAATTATTGTTTTGGTTTTCTATATGTAACTTAAAGGGATGCCTACCCATATGTACTGCCTAAACAAACAACTTACAAAGAGTATAGCCCAACAATTTTTTATAACTGGAAAGACAACACATGTAATGAAACCAAATCTATTTTAATGTTTTTTTTATATCTTGTTCCCCAAACTACTATATAACCCTCTTCATTTTTTCTATTTTTCGTTTTAAAAATCTGTATAACATGATGTATAACAGCATATATATATATATATATATATATATATATATGCATCCTTACACACTCCTATACATTACATATACTCCGTTAAGAAAATGTATATGTAATGGATAAACTATTATATATTACACAGATATCATGACACACTATTATAAGTTATGTTCCTTGGACTCTTCAAAAATGTCATTGATTGTGTGTTGGATCCTTGAAAAGTAGTGCATTTTTTAAGGATCCAACACCGGTGCGACAACATTTTTGGAGAGTATATGTAATGGTTGGAAAGGAACAAGACATGCATTGAGGGGAAGAAGCTGCAGATACCTAGAGTCAAAAACAAATGTATCAAGAACTTGTATTTTTGGTGTTATAGAAGTTCTCTTGATAGGATGGATAAGTCTTCGGAACTTTTTGCATTCATTAGGGGAATATATGTATTATGTTTGGAGTGAGAGGTGCAATTTAGGTCCTGTAATGTTCTCTGCACCATCTTGGTACCATTTTAATAAAAAAAAATTACTTGTCAAAAAAAATGTGGCTTGACGAGAAAGAATGAGGTGCTTCTCCCACTTTGTAATCCCCTCCTCCATTTTCCCTTCCGTAGCCCTATGTAATTAAAAAAAAAAAAAAGATGCATTCTTCTTTGGGGAATTGGAAGGTCAATGATGAAGTTCATTCAACACAAAACATTTCAACAACTTCTGAGAACTGACGCACACCTTGACAGGATATGATGAAGGACAATGGTTGTCGGCGACTTGCCGGAAAAATTGGTTGCCATAGTTTCATACTGAAACTGACGCCAGATGATAGATCCATCCAAGATCTATCTATTTATGTAGGTTTTGTGTGGTGGAGATGAGCGTACACGAATTTGAGAAGGAAGAAACTAGGGATTTCATATATTCTGAAATTCGTGGAGATGGAGTGAATTTTGAAGACTTTGGGTTACGGATCTTGGTAGAGGAGAAGGAAGAAACTAGTAAGGGGAAGAGGTACTTCTCCTACCTTGTAATCCCCTCCCCCATTTCCCCTTCCCTACCCCTATGTAATTATTTTTTTAAAAACAGTGCTTCCTCATCTAGGTATTGGGAGGTCTATGATGCAGCTCGTTCAACACAAAACATTTCAACAACTTTTGATAACTAACACGTACCTTGACATGATATGATCGAGGACAATGGTTGCCAGCGACCCGACGCAAAAATTGCATGTCGGAGTTTCGTACTGAAACCAATGCCAGATGATAGATCCGTCCAAGATCTATCTATTTATGTAGGTTTTGTGTGGTGGAGATGAGTGTAGCTTCACAAATTTGAGAAGAAAGAAACTAGGGATTTCAGATATTCTGAAATCCGTGAGAGAGTGAATTGAAGGTTTTGAGTTATGGATCTTGGTAGAGGAGAAGGAGACGATTTGAGTGGTGTATTTTGAACGTGAACAGAGGTTATCGATCGGTGGCGGTGATTTTCAACCACTGGAGAGAAGGCAACAAACAATGGTGAAGTAGTGGTCTGCGGCAGCAGCAAATGAGAAAAAAAAAAAAGAGGGAATAGAGCTTGGGGACTAGATTTTACAAAAACTTTGCTCCTTTTAGCTTTTTATAGAATCTAGATGGACTAGCCTATCGCCCTATCCTTTATACTGACCCAGTCTTCAATCGAAGGCTAGTCACCATTAGCTCATTGGCTTACTTTCTGATAGCTTTCTCTAGGCTAAGACATTCGATGACTCATCCTAAGGCTTTTATTTCTGTTCCCTTTGTAAAGCAATTGAAAAGAGACCAAAACCACATGAAAAAAGGTTTCATAAGCAAAAGTTATTGCAGAAAATAAGGGAGAGTGTCGTTTTAGAAAAGAAGCAATAGTTTCCGATTTCCCTGAGCTTAGAGGTCAATTACGAAGGGGTAACCGATCCATCAACTTATTTTGGGGTTAACCTGTCGATCAACTCAAGGATGAACTTCTAGTGAAAAACTAAAGCCCTACCTTATATAATGAAATTCCGCAGTTTTGCAATAATTTGGCTTTTTCTGCACTTCAGCTTTGAGCTGATTTTGGTAAATAGAATAAAAAAAGGTAATAAATGAGTGCTTGGGCCATATTTAGTAAACTAGATGACCAAAAGGATATGGACATTAATTATCTGTAACTTAAACATATTCCAGCTAAGTTTAACAAATCCACATACAAAAGCAGTTCATCGTTGAAGGCAAAAGTAAATTGCTCATTAAAGTATTCATAGAAAGAGGATTACTTACTTGGATAAGAGAAAAGCTTCATCCAAATTGTTGAAAAAGAAATATATGAGTACTTCTCTAGATCTCAAACTCTTCACACAATCACGTTCATACCTCTTTTGAATAATATTAGCCATTTGTCTTTAGATCCTGCTGGGAAAGAAAATTTATTCTCATGAATGGGAAGACTTATTAAAAGGAAACCTTCTAACTTCTAAAAAGCTTCGTGAATTCAGAGAAACTAGGGGTGGCAAAATCAGCCTACAAAATCATGACCCGCTTAGATTTGGCGAGCTAATGACCCGCCCAACCCGCTTTGATTTGGCGGGTTAATGGCCCGCTTATTTTATTAACTCAACCCATTTGACCCTCCCAATTCTGTCTATTCAAAAATTGGGCTGATATGCACAACCCAAATTGACCCATGAGAAACTAACTAATAGTTTTAAGAATGAAATTTTTTATTTGATATGTATATAGTCATAATAAAACAAAAAAATTGATTTAGGTAGTTAAACAATTTATAAGAAATCAAACAAAGAATTTAGAATTTAGTAAAAGTTGGATGGATGGGGTTATGATCTAGTTTTTACCCCATTTAAGCCCAATTCATTTCAACCCAAGTAACTTTGACCCGCCCAAATTCAGTCCAACCCGCCCATTTGACACCCTAACAGAAACTATAAAACGTTTGGATTTGATAATTGTGATGAAGATGCTTCAATGATTCAATCTTATTTGAAAAAGTATGCCTGACCTCTGTCACTCGTTCAATTTACTTTCTTTCACAAAGACCTTAGTAAAAATAATCAAATGGAGATTGTCGAAAAATACCAAAAAGAAGAATAGATCATAGAGTCACCCACTTTGAGTTATTCATAATGTCGAGCCTACATCACGATGAATGTACTCAAACATTCCAAGCAAACTTGTCAAGCTAGAATTACAACCTAAGAATTCATCCTAGCTGCAATTAAAACTAACCATCCAAAACATCTTTATTTAATCTTAGCTATGTTCTGGTTCTAATATTACCAATTAGGAGGAGTAAGAGCTCAGGTATTCAGTTAGGCGGCTCGAAAAATAATAATCTAAAAAAATAATGCAGTCCTTAAGAATCAAATCTTGGACGTTAGGTGCATTTTGAATGCCTTGGACCGCTGACCTAACCTTTTGCATATTGTTCACATGATTCAAAATTTATAAATGTACATAAACACAAAAAATCTACCCTATATAGTCTGTAATATTTTTGCCGAGGGGCTCAAGTGAACACCCTCTAAATCCACCCCTGGAACAAACCATCTATCATACCAAAAGCCACTTGTAGGTAAACTAAATCCTCCTCATTAAACTTTTTCCAACTGCAAAGAGGGATGACAAATTATTTACCTAAAACATTTTTTTTAAATTTATATAGAACTATTAGATACAAACCAGAAAATATATCTCTTAATGACATCTCTCATGCTTGTGTTTCCTGCCTCTCTAGTTTCTTCTACATGTGTCAAAGTCAAACTGATGCCTGACTAAGAACAAAGTTACGCGATTTAAGTTTAATTTGCTGATAGTTTAGTGGACATTCTCACAGTTTTTCAAAGAAGAAGGAATTGAAATTGGCAGAGATTGTAATTTGCTCATTGTAGGAACAACAGAAAAGAAGCCCACTGTTGTGACAGAGAAAAGAAGACATATTAAATGCATTTCTAGAGTTTGATTTATGTCAAGAGCAAATAGAGCACACAGTATTTTAATGACATCTGCTCGTCGCTGCTAAGGTTATTTATTTCCATGCAGAAATTATGAAAAATAAAATCATATCATAACTTGAAATAAGAAGGTTAATATTTGTACCTGGATTAGTCCATAATATTCTTTCTTCATGGAGGATATCTTCTGATAATAATTTCCATGTGGCTTGCCAAACATTTTCTGGCAGTGACATCATTGCAAATAACCCATCCTTTGAAGTCGAGTTAGCTCAATATAACCACCCTTGCTCTTCTTAAACCTACTGACAAGTGGATCACTAGGGATGCTACACTAAGGATGTCAAAGCTAGACATGCTTGCTGCTAGAATCCTGAAGTTTGCTATTGTATTTTTCATAGCATTTACCTTGCTCGACAAAAAGTGATGCCATTTGTGTGAAAACTAAATAGTAAATGATGGTATATAGCCAAATTGGAAGCAGTCTCAGATAATACAATAACAATGTTTAAACTACACCGAAGATCATGTTTGGCAAAATTAAGACAACTAAGTTTCAGTGTCACGTGTTAAATATTTGACTAGTAAATGAGTTGAATGAAATTATACAATCCGTTGACTTCTTTTCTCTAGACATCGGTGTAGCATAGACATCCACAATGTAAATTTTTCATTTTTCTTGTTCTTCTTTTGCTTTTTAAACAGTCTGGCTTTGAAACATGTAAAATTGAACATAAGATAGTTTGTGCAACCTGTTGATTCATTCTCAAACCATCTATTTTGAGGTTAAAAGCAGAGTAACAATTAGCACTCGAACTCGAAATTTCTAGTAAAAGCCTAGAGATACTCATATACTCTCCATCACATATTTTGATAGTACAAATGTCTAAGTCATCTGCTTCCATAGATATTCTACTTGATATGGACTTTTTCAAGGTTAATAATGCTTAGTATCCCATATTCCCCCAATCAGTCAAAAAAATGTATAGAGCTTTTTCTTTTCCTGTCAATTACATGGTGTTAGTAATAAAGAAAAGGGTGATGAAGCTTTTTCCACCCAAATAAAGGTTTCCCTTTTCTTAACTTTGCTTAATTGCTTCAAGCCTAAGACTTAAGCATAGTCCTATTTGTTATTTTGCTGAATCTTGCTCAGCTGACAACTTGTAACCCATAAATCTTATATATAACTTCTTCTACTGAGCAATTAATGTAGCTTTGCCGGAACATAAGACTTCATTAGAAAAGTAACTAATCACTCTTATCATAAAAAATCAAGAACTCAAAGTGGTAATGAGAGAGCAACAAAAATCAGGAGTAAACTAAGCCAGGGAAGGTAATGGACAAATGCAGTCAGTGACAGGAAATCAACCAAAATCACCTAGTTTTATCATACAATAAAATACAATTCAAAGTGAAATATACTAAGCTCCCTGTAAGGTAAAGCCTCCTCTAAAATGGAACAGACCCTTTTCGCCCCATGTTGATAAATTACTCAGAACTTTCAGCACTCTCCTCCACCTCGCCACCTGAATGCAGCAAATTAACGAGTTAGCGAAAATTGAAAAGGAAACTTCATACCCAAAATGAGGCAAAAACTAACCATCTTCTTCTTCCTCATCCACCACCTCCCAGTCATCATCATCATCATCATCATTTCCGTATCGTTCATTCAAGAACTCCACAGCTGATTTAGTGAAAACCAGCTTCTCAGAATCCAATATGTCGAAAAGATTCAAAGTTCTGGGAGTCAACATCTTCAATGTGCTAATGTTTCTGCTGGAGAGAATCACATTGTCTGAAACTTCCGTCATCAAAAACAAAGATTTCTCTTTTGGGTCCAATCCCCATCTTCTCATCAAATCAATGAACTCCTTAGTCTTCGGTTTCTCAAACTTATCATCAAACTCTTCCACAACAATAGCATTTTGCGTAGCACTCGAAAGCGCAGTAGAAATAGCGAGTCTCTTTTCCTTTTTGTTAATCTTAACTGACCAATCCTTAGGCTTCGGCCCAAACACAACCCCACCACCGGGTCGTAAAGGAGTTCGGTTCGACCCACGTCGAGCTCGACCCGTTTTCTTTTGTGGGTATGGTTTGATACCACCACCCCGTACTTGGGCTCGGGTAAGGGTGGAAGCAGTACCGCGGCGTTGGTTGCGGAGGTCGGTGGTGAGACCACGATGGACGACGGCGCGTGCGGTGTCAAGAGGGGCGGATTTTAGATTGAGAGTGGTGGTGCCCACTTCGGTACCATCAAAGGACAGAATTGGAATAGTGGCGGCGGCGTTGG